TTCTCAGGACCTGCTTGTGTTCATCCACACAGGCACATGTTTTGGACAATTCTGCAGTGGCACAAGAAGTGATGGGGCTCTTCATTACCACTGTCCAAGCAATTTCTCTCCACTGTCTTAGCAGATTCCAGCTGTCTTACATAGAAAAGAAGCTTATGATCTTGTATTCGACAAGGCTTATGAAGATCCGAAAATTTTCCTGATAGTAAAGCAAAGGACTGCCTGCGCTGCCTCCCTGAAGCCCGAGTTAAACAGATGTCAGTAGGAACGAGGGAAAGGGTGTCTGAGCGGTGCATCCGAGCCGAGGACCGCGGGCAGCTCCGGCAGCTCCCGGGAGGTGTCGCCGCAGCCCAAGGATGGAGCGCGGCCGCGCCGGTGTCCGAGGAACGCACCGCGGGGCTCTGCCCACCCCGGGGTGTCTGAAAGGGACCTGCGGGGCACCCGAACCTCGGTGCGCTGGAGCCAGGCTGCCCGCGGTGCCTCCCCAGGGATGCTCCTCCCCGCAGCAGGCCGAAGCTCCCCGTGCAAACCTCTCATTTGCGCATTGCAAATGTCAGTGCCCGTGATGAGCACACGGGGATAGGCCAGGGCTGAAGGTGTGGGTCCCTACCTGCCCACTGCTGAACCTGCTGCCAGGTGGGGTGCGTTTTGTGTGGCATCCTTTGTGTTAAAGCCTGATAAATGTTCGAATACAGGGATTTTGGGTTCAGTCTGACAAAAGACTGAGATTTAGCATACGGCTGAGATCTGATAGAGATCCGGTTTGCTCGTATTAAAGCAGACACAAATTTAAAGAACACTTTCCCTGAGGACACAGTTGTCTTGGAATCGTAGGACTGAGCCATGAGAGGGGAAGGCGGTGGTGGGATCCTGGGGACCATGTCAATAACTCCATGATCTTCAGGTGTCATGGGTGTCATTAGAGTCACTAACAAATCTGTTGTGCTGTATTTGCTGTTGATGCTCTTATTTTGCCACATTTGGAACGACAGGAGCCAGTACTACAGATCCTCAGGACTGGCTGGTCCTGTGCCTTTTTCAAGTACAAACTGGGCAGCAGTGGGTAATCCAGAGTGGTGACTTGTAACCATGCACATCAGATTGAGAGGTTTTTCCGTATGCCTCTATGCAGGGGGATAATCATCACTTCCTACCTCAGCTCTTCATGTATACCAGCAGCTTATAATTACTGTTGGGGATATAAAGCATGTTTAAATCTTGATACTAACCTATTAACTGCCTACTTCACTATTATGATGTCTGCATCAAAGTTAAACTGTGTATAGGAATAGTGAATGTGGATGAACTGCCCGTTCAGAAAACGGGAACATCCCAGACTGCAGAGACCATACTTGGAGGAAGCAAGACTTTGAAAAACCCAACCAAAATCCTAAAACATGGAGTAATCACTCCAATCCTTTGAAGCTGATAGTTGGAAGTGTACCCGAATAATGTTAGGAGTAGAAAGTTCAACCTCCAAGAGAAAACGGATGGAGATGCTTTGTGGCCCATGCAGATCTTCCCTGTGTAGTCACTACTGTGCTACTCACTGGAATTTCATGGAAATCTTTAACCCAATAGAAGCAACCTTCTCTCACTATTTGCTGGAGTCCTCCTTCAATCAGAACCAAGGGTTTCTGAACAATTCCCACAAGATGTGCGTTAATGAAAAGGAGAGGCAGATGGCACCATCAAGGGCTGGGCAGTAGCCTTACAAGCAGGTATGCTCATGTCTACCTGGTACTGGTTCCACACACCCTCATTCCTTCTCTGCAGCACTGCTGTGCTGTTCTCTCCCTGTTCTTGTATGAAGCAACCCAGCAACATTGTATGGGGTTTCCCATCAATCTCTAACAATGCATTTCAGTCCTTGATACCTACTGGTGGCCCCACTGAGACATCAAAGCACCTTGTTTACTGTTTTCAGATTCCTTCTCCTAAGTATTTCTAGATGCAACACTTGTGTTTTAGCTCTGAAGTTTCTATTAACTTTGCCCCCCTTGTTTCCTCCCTTAAGAATTTAAGTACATAGCTCAGGCAGGTACTTGTCTCACTTTAAGCAGTGGCCAAGGGCTATTTAATGATTTGGGTTTATACAAATCACTGCCTGCCTAAGGAACTAAGTACCTGTGATACATGGGGAAAGCAAGCATTTTTCTGTTAGAAGCAGGTCTGGTTTTAAAACTAACTTATGTTCACCCAGGACTTTCCTCAGTGATGACCAGATGAAAGCTGCTCAGTCCAAAGCCATCTCCCTGCTGTCAAAACTTTCCTTCTCAACAACTGTCTGGACAGAGTGTGGGAGGAGTGTGTTAGTTCCTGGTTTAATGTTGGGTTGGGGGGGGTCAGAATCAACAGTGAGGGCTAGGAGTAGCCTTGTGGTTCAAACTTTTTTTTATCTTCAGCTACATTAGATCATAGTGGGTTTTATACACAGTAGAATCTTCCTACTACAGCTCCTTATGGCTGGAATACTTGAATTACTGAGGTATTACTGCCCCTTACTTGGGACCATCATGTAGCCTTTCCAACCTTGCTTACACTGGTGTTTTAATATTACATGCTCCCCACTACAGAGGGGTGTGGAGCAGGACGCCCTGGATTGACCAAATATACAGGTTTCAATGCTGGTGACAAAATATTTGCAAGCAACCCACACAATTCGTTTTGGCATTAAATGATTCCTCACTCAGTTGGTCAAGTATTTATACTGACAAAACCTCTGTATAGCACATTATTAAGCACTGCAGAATCCTTCTCTTTAGCATGTATGTACCTCAGAGTTGGAAGTGTCCACTCTGCTTGCTGGGGCTCACCATGCTGTGTTCTGTGGTTCCGCTTGTGGTCCCCCTGCATGTTGGACTAGATACAAGCCTGGGTCTGTGGGGAACCCTGGAGGAAGAAGGTAAGAGTTGATCCAGCTGTGGGATGCTGAAGTTGTTAGTATAAGTTACTCCTTACAGTCTGGAACACTGAAAGTATGGTGCTTTAGAACAGGAATGGCCTGTTAGCAAATCTTACTCTCGGGGAGGGGGGGGGAATGTTTTAAGAAGACATCCTTGCCCTGCAAACTTTGGAACCTGATGGGTTTTAATTCATTTCTCTTTAATGAAGCTCTAATTCTGGCTTAATAACACCCACAGTAATACTGTATCTCTCTTTGAAGAGTACGAGTGAAGATCTAGTAAAGAGGTGTTGATATCTAAACATTTAAAAGGAAAATGTGTGATGGAAGAGATGTAAGTAAATATTCCACAGCCTTTTGACAGCTTTGGAACAGTGTTGTTCAGCTGCAGCATCACCCAACAGAACAGAATAGCTGAAGGTCACATTTTCAGCTTCCCAGAGCACTTGAATGTAGGGCAAGTGTTATGGGGACAGATCCAGGTCTGCTTCTCTGCGTGGCATTCTTCCTTTTGTGCATCACCATGGTAAGCAGTGAGGGTTGCCAGGAGCCCGGATGCATTGTTTGTCTCACCCCCTCATCCGCTCTCCCCCTCCTGCACCAAATGCTTTCTCAGTGATTAGTTACTGAGTAGAAGGGGCTCCAGTTACCACGCAGCCTGCCATCTCCCCGTTTTATTGGAACTAATATCCCACCTGCAATGATAAGCTTTAAACTTGTTTAATCTCCCAGCTTAGCCGTGGTGTTTTAATATTTTTAAAATGGTTGTTTCAGAAGAAGGGGGATTTAAACAGGTTTTGAATAAATAATAAAAGCCCTTCTCACAGGTTGCAATGCAGGCCGGGAGGCATGAGCCATTTTCATCAGGTCAGGTTTCACCTTGGGTTATCCCAAGGTGGCCTGACTTTGTGGCTCCGGATTTACAATGAAACAGTCAGATGCAAAGCAGTTTATGGAGGAGAAACTGCTTTAATAATGCATTTCCTGCTCAGCAAACAGCAGATACAATGACATTCACAGGGAATGGGAAGGGGAACAAAACCTCTCTGAAAAAGAACCAGTTTCTCCCTGGAGTTTAATAAATTTTTTGCTCCTTTAATGTATTTGGGGAGATAAAGGTTGACCTAAGGGACATCAGAATGCACAGCTTGTGGTGAGAAATGAGATCAGTTTGTAACATCTTGAGCCTGATAACTTGAAGCCCCATCTGCATTGTTTCAAGCGTAAGGGAAGGGAAATGGGCTCTCATTTCATGGTGAGACTTCACTGGCATAAACACAAGACCCACCCTCTGGAATAAGCTGGATAAAGTGCATGGTACTGTTACAGAGAGCACCTTAACCTCCCACTCCTTGATCCCTGCACTGGGAATGCTGTGTTCAGCCTCAAGAGGAGGACTGCTCTTGACTTCTCTGGGCCAAATCAAAGCAGTAATACCAGATGTTCCCAAGAGTCTTGTCCTCTTAGTTCCAGCCATTAGTACATGCTTTGGGCTTACAGAAGCACGTGTGCATGGTTGGGAGTGTAAAGCCTGGAAAACTAGGCAAGACTTTCATAGCTTTTCTCAAGACAATTCTTGCTTCTTGCGCACACTTACTTAGGCACAACTTGTGTTGAAGTGTAGTTAAAGCACAGTGAAGAAGCAGAGGTGGCTTACCTGGTTTTATAAAGGCAAAAGAATGTTTGAAAGCAGTCAACTGATTTATAGCTCAGTTTCAGAAGAGCCCAAGGAGCACCAACAGGATGACCTTAGCACTGTGCAGCTCTTAAGGTTGCAGAAAGGTTAAGGTGGGCATAGAGCTGTTACATAAACACTGGTTGTGAGTTCTGTTCTGGGAAAAAGCCCTGCCAAACACAGTAATTCTGTGTCCTGTTTGTAAGTCAGACCAGAGGGTAACTCTGCTGCAGTCAGCTTCAAGTGAAGGGTGAGCCAGCATATCTCAAAAACGGGCCTTGCCAAGCCCTGAGCTAATGCTTGTACAGATGAATTTGGAAGTGTAACTCATAAACCAGCTATAACTAGGTGAGTTGGCCATGTCGCCCCAGCTGGCCTCCTCAGTAACCTGGTTGAGATGAAGAGGTGGACACATAAGTCACTTTGGGGTAGTAGTAAGGACAGTGAAGATGATAAAATGTTCATTGGTGTGTAAAACCCTCTCTTACACAGCAAAAAGTACTTTTGAGCTCCTCCAGGAAGCTTTCATGGACAAAGCAGCAAATAAGAACCATTTACTTTACAGCATATAATCATGTTTCCAGTATTCCTACCTAGTCAATGTAACCACAGGGCAAAAACATGGAAAATCCAGATGAGATTCGGTACATAGATAAGGCTTAACAAACCACTGCCTCCACTGCACCTTCTATTTGAGAGAAAAGAGACTGTTTCAGTATGATTTCAAAAGCACTACTCTAGTTCTGCATCACCTTAATATAGTGAAGTATTATCCCTATCTTTTAGCAATGCCACAGAAGTCAAGTAATGACTTGCTACACATCCAGCTAACTTTGTGAAAAGCCCTGTGGGCAGAACCTAAATACCCTGAACTGCAGTGTTCTGCCTCAACATAAAAGCATCCTTCCTCACCAAAACCAAACAAACCCCGCACCTAAATTCTTTATGGAAAAGATGTGGTATTCCAGGCTGAAGGGGATGTATAAATTTTAAAGAAAGATTTTAAAAGGAAGAGTGGGATAACAGTGAAATTGGGACTCATTTGTCTACTAAAACAAAGGTAGGGAAAGGAAAAGCTGAATAGAATATGAAAAGGCTTAGGACAGTTTATTTTGAGGATAATAAGGGAGGGAGGCTTAAAACATCAATATTGAAGTAGAATTTGAACTGCAGGACAACCAAGTATCCTTCCATAGGTCCACAATATTACCTAAGAGAGCCATCTATATCTTTGGCCATCTCATGTATATGGAAGAAGTAATTTCCAGAAGGGTCCTGTAGTAACTAAAGAATTAGTTTTTCAGCTCCTTGAATATTAGTTCTTATTTGGGGGATGCAGAAGGGCAAACATGCAGGTAATATGAGTTTAAGAATGAGCTGAAGTCTAGTTTAAGTAAGAGAAATGTCTGGCTATGTGATATGCAGTGCTTAGCTGGAACTGCACTAAATCAGACAACAGGCCAGGAAAGCTCTCTCTGTAGTTGGTCTGACACTAGATACCTGTATGAATACTGATCAGCTCTGTAATCATCACTAAAGCAGGCTTGATCATGTTTATTACATGTGACACTTTAAGACTATTCCAGGGCAAACTCTCAGGCAACAGTCATAGGCTGCCACAGTGCTTTGGTTTTTCTATCAAGTGGGCTTTTTCAACCAACATCTGTTCTTTCACAAGGGTTTATGTTTAGGTTTTCAGATACAATAATTGCAGTTGTTGGTTTCAGGTTATACAAATAAAGACAGTGGGATGAGTTCAAAAATAGTTGGATCTCTGCGCTTTGTACCAGCCTGTGCATCCCCTTCAATGAGCTCTACCCTGTTGCATACACTTCTCCCTTTCAACACTCAGTAGTGTCAAGTAAGATTTTTCTCTTGTTTTAGCTCTTCTCAGAATGCTTTGTCTGGAAGAAAACTTAACTGGCATTCCAAGAAAGTGAGCTACTGTCTTATACCCTGCCTTAGCCTTACCGCAGCATCAAGGAGGAGACTGTGTGCTGAAGAAAGAACAATGATCTTAACACCATAGGGGGAACTTCTGGAAGCAGCAGGAAGTCCCCTCTGTTTCTCTGCAAAGAGATAGTTAAGCCTACAAAGAAGGGCAGCACCAAAGGCACTGAGAGAGGTGGCCATCCCATGCAAACTGAGGCTTCCTGAGGACTAATTCAAGATCAAGATTGTTGGTCTTTTTAGAGGAAATAAACCGGATAACACTATTATTCTTGTCTGATTAAGTATGTGTCAAATACCTTGCTATAGCTGTTAGCACAGGAGAGAAATACTTGACTGAAGTGTGGTTAATGCAATGTTGCATGTTATACCATAATTGGATTCTTTCCTTCTTGCTGTAACTTGGCAGACTGAAAAACGATTAGCAAAACTTCATGCTGTGGCAGGAGGATTGATGCTATTCCTTAACAAAACAGGGAGAGTAACTTTCAGGATCTTGAGTGTATATCAAACTCCTGCTGTGCTTCAAGATTCTAGTACACTGCCAAGTTCAGTTAAAATCCAATTGCTGAATTATGCAGCACAAATAACATCACTGTAGGACAATCATGGGTAAATATCACTTCTGAGGCCTGTGATGCTCACATGTGTTTGGTTTCATGGGGTGAGTCTGTCTTGGCTTTAACAGGCAGGGGCTGTACACCAAGGAAATGAGTTGTATGACAAGGACCTGACTGCAAGATAAATGCAGTTGGCTACTGATAAGGGAATACACATGGCAATTCCACTTCCTGGACATGTAAAGAAAAGGACTTTCTATGCATGCCAAGCCCCTAAACATGGAAGTACTCCTGTGGGGCTGGTGGGAGGTTATCTGTGCATGTGACATCTCCCCCAGTAAAGTCACTGCGTGACACCTCCATGACTTCTGAGAAAGCAGGACATGGGCAGAGGGATGGATGGAGCAGTGATTTGTCCAGTATGTCACACATTGCTGCCAGGCTGAGAAACACAATTCCACTCTGATCCTCCTCCTTTTGGTGCTGCTGAGTACAGTGTCTTTCACACTGGGCTATGCATGATGCTCTATGTCCTATGTAGAGGAAATGAACAGTAAGTACCACTGAGTAACATGTGTGTTGTATCAGCAGGGGTTGAAATTTCTTTGGGTGGTGCTTTTTTTCTTGCTGAGAGTGGAAAATCCGATGGATGCAGATCTAGCTCTAGAAAACAGGGGTCACTTAAACTTGTAGAAACTGGAATTTGCCAAGTGGGTCTAGAATGCTACCACTCTGGTTTGCAAACAGCAAAGGAGCCAGCGACTGAATATGACTCAAACCAGGAAAGAAGCAAACCCAATGGAAATAGCCATTTGTGAAGCAGTAATTATTCCTTGTGTAAGTGGAAGGAAAGGTCACTGGAAGAAAGCAGTGTCTAGAATGAGAGAAGTGTTTAGTCCTGTTCAGTGAGGTACTATGGCAGATGTTTTTGGCAGTAAATGCAATTTAGGGGTACTTAGTCATGGCCTTGAGTGCTGCTTTCAGTAATGCAGGTGAACATTATGTGAGGCAGCAGTATAGACTGAATCACAAAGACTTCTTTGAACCAGAAAAACGTATCTGTTTCAGCTGATCATCTAGCCCTCTGAATTGCTGTACAGATATAACAGCCGATTTCTAGCAACTTGGAGAAGTAGCTGGGAGTGATGGGATGGGGGATTCTAGGGTAAGAACTACTTCAAAGGAGCTTACTGCTGATGGAAGGATGTTGTGGACATACCCTTTAAATTTTTAGCGATCTGATCTGCAAATCTCTGATTTCACGAGTAAATCATACTCACAAAAAGATCCTTTGTTGACTGTTTGTTGACTTCAAACACTTCCCCAAGAATCTAGTTTGTAACAAAACCAGCAAAGACTTAAACTTCTGCATTAAAGGAGCACTGGTGTCCAGAGACTTCGTATTTAAAAACACCTTAGAAATGCAACAATATTTTGTGCAGATGAATTTAGCCTATTGCCCTCCCTGTGCTAGGATCTGCATTGTATCTGTGAAGAAAGCAGCTAGCTGCTCCCTGTCAGCCCCCAGTGTCCTCAGGTGCAGGACATGCATATAATTTGCTCTTGTACCTCAATCAAGTGAGCAAGCAGCAAAATAGAGGAAATTAATTTCTCTTGTTCCTTTTTTCCTCTGTCCTTTTTTTACAAGAGCCTTTTAAAAATGTTGCTTACTATATGATTATGCACAGTAGGGGTTTGTAACAACCTCATCTTAACTCAACTACCTCTGCCCTTGCTGTGGAATGATTGGTTGCCTTGGCAATCTTCTATATGCGTTGCTCAGGAGCTACAATTATAGTGCTCTTCTCAGTAGTGATAATCTTAGTTCCTTTTCTTAGAAGTCCACAACCAGGAGATACAAAAACATTTCTATAATGGATTTTATTGCTCCAGCCCTCTGCCTCCTGCATCGCTGAAGGGAGCAAATCTGCTCCAGCTAAACCTGCTTGCTTGGCAGCAAGGAGAAAAACTTCTGTTTGCACAGGATGAAGTACTGAGTTAGCTGAATGTCACAACCTGATAAGTCACCTGAGGTGGTAACTCTGAGGAGCATACAAACCCCAAGGACTAGAGCAACGGCCTCCTGGGCCATTCTGCAGTGAAAGTAACTATGAAGGCAGCACTGTTTTCTGTTGCATTGAAAAGACTTTGGACCATGTGCTTACTTTGCAAGTAAAATGATGGCAACTTTCACTGCTGGCTCTGAGAACTCAAGATAAATGATAGAATTATAGAATGGGTTGGGCTGGGAGGGGACCTTAAAGCTCATCCGGTTTCAAACACCTGACCCACGGACAGGGACACCTTCCACTAGAGCAGCTTGCTCCAAGTCCCATCCAACCTGGCCTTGAACACTGCCAGGGATGGGGCAGCCACAGCTTCTCTGGACACCCTATGCCAGTGCCTCAGCACCCTCACAGGGAAGAACTTCTGCCTTTTAAATGCATACGGGCTGTAGCTCACACTGAAATGGGAGGGGCAGTTGCCTCAACCCCTTATCAGTTTAACTTTTATGGGCCAAATTGTGTGTTGAACCGCACCAGTCGCATGTTATCTGTGGACAGTGGTGATGGGCAGGAGTAAGACCTATGTCAGCTCTGCCATGAGTCAGAGACACTAAGATCCAGTGCACTGTTTTTCTTGATGGTACTTGCTCTGCTGGGTGAACATGGGCTTTTAAAGTAAATAAAGACACATTCTGCCCCTGCAATTGGATGTATTTGGTAACAGGGGGAGCCAAGCGTCAAGTAAGCTTTTGCATAGTAAATCACTATTTTGGAGCAATCTGCGGACAGAAATGAGGTTAGTTCTGTCTCTGGATGGATGTGCAAAAGGGTCATATTTCTATCAACATGCTGAAACTGTGTTGTGGGCCTCCATTTGTAAAGTGTGAGTATTTGAGGAAAGACAAGTGTTTAGTTACTGCTGAGATCAGAGAAGCTGCTCTTGCCATGCACACACTGGGGGGTGTCAGGACAGAAATGCCTAATTGCAGCTGGCATTTTGGACACTTTCAGTGCCTGTGCCAGTGGGCACTTGGCTGACAAACAACATCCTTTCTGACACGAGCAACACAAAAACTGCAGAGGACACTAAAACGCTGACTGCTGGTTCGACAATTAGGAGCCTGACAAAATTAAGCAGTCCTGAAGCCTAAGGAGCTCAGTTCTTCAAACTGCTGCACCACAGCTTTAAAAAAGGAACATCTCTGCATCTTTGCACACATGGGTCTCCTCTTCCTCTTTTTTCTTACCCTCTGCTGCAAGTGTGGGCAGAGCTGCTGCTTTGAGCCAAGAGGGAAGCCACCAGCAGCTGACTGAGATGCCAGTGTTCATTAAAGTCTTCATCCTCAAATGCTGCTCAGATACAGGGAAGGGTGAGAAACGCCACACATGAGGGCCACGGAAACAGTGCAATCTCTCAATCACTAATACTGAGCACTTCCAGGCAGATGGCACAAATACTTAGTATACATAGAACAAATTCAGATCTGACTTGAAGGAACAAAACTTCACTGACAGAAGTTCTTGCTTCAAGAACTGTAGTTCTTGCTTCAAGAAGAATATAACAACCAGCACCTCATATATTAAATAGTCTTTTGGTACCCTTTTGAAAGGTCCCTGCTCTCAAATGGGTGTGCAGTTGCAGGGAAGGAGAGTGGCAGGCTGTTCCTACAGAATTAAATGCATGAATGCTTCTCAAAGTTTGGGAGAAATCACAAGTGCTTGCACTGATAGTCCAGCTGCATGACAGTGAGTCTGCTGCTATCTTGCAAGTCACTGTAGCAAAGTGACCTTGTGTTAGAAGCGGAAAGGACTCCAAGCCCTTGGTGTGGTACTCAGTATGATAGCTGCTTCTGTGTGATGTTCAACCCATACTGAAATGCTGTGCTGGAGAAGCCCTTTGCTAGGTTCATTCTAGCAGATGCACATGGCCTTTCTAAGGCTTGGTTGGGTGATGTTTTTAGATACAGACCCATATCTTCAAAAGCAGGACTCTGTAGTAACAGTTGTCACCAATTAGAAAGTGGTAATGTCTAAAGGGGAGCTGTTTTCCTTATTCAGGTCTTACCTTTATCAAGAAATAGGAGTTGGCCCTATTTCCCTGTGCAGTTTTCAATATAACTTGAGAAGCTCAATCCCATCCTGCTCTGACAACCCAGATAGCTACTTGCTGCTGAACAGCTTCAGACTTTATAGTTCCAGTAGCTGGAGTTGAGTACCTGACCAGCTGTTGCTCCCCTGGGTATTTTAAGGGCTATTTTTTTAGGGGGTTTAATCTGGAATATTCATTAACTACATGACAATTTGCTTGTTTCTCATGTGGCTGAGGCAGGTGGTTGAACCTGGAGTCCAATTCTTGGTTTGTTTGGGGGTTTTAATATTTGCTTTTGTATTTCTGGTTGGGTTTTCATTATAACTTTAAACTCCACGGGGAAAATATAATCCAAAAAATACTCTGTTTATATTGTTCTGAGCAGGAATTAATCACAAAGCAAGAAGTCTAGGTTACTTACTTTCAAGTCTGCTCTTATAAATACTACATGATAAGCACTTGCAAAGGGTAGTCAGGTTGCTAGACATAGGGTAGAACATTTCTGCTCAGACTCTCCCAATGCAGTTTCCTTTGTGGTTATGCACTTTTTAATTCCTAGACTAGCCATCTCTTTTCCAATGATCATTTCCTTAAAAGTTGGAAACTGGTGTC